CTGAAGAAGTGTGTGGCCAATGCAGAGCCTGGGCATAAACCTGACTTCCACCGCCTGCGACCTCCTGCCAGCAGAGGGCGTCTGCCTCGGAGTCACTGTGCCATTCATCTAGCAATCACTACTACTTGCTGGGTCTTTTATTTTACTGAGTTTTAACTAAATTTTGTATGTTCTTTTACTGTATTCCCCCTCCAAAGTCCTGATCGTGTCTTATAATTTCTAGTCTCCCACAGTCCCTAGATGGGCCCTTTATATGATTGGATTGGAATTGTACAAGTAAATGCTGCTGTTAGGCCATATATTTAAAAGCTCTTAGCTTTTTCCATTACAGGCAGCACCCACATTGTAAATGGAACTTTCCCAGAAGTTATTTTGTATATTGGTTTTTGGAATTCTGTAAAAATAATATGCATATTTGTTATATTTCCAAATCAAACTACTCAAGAGCTGTTCAGCCCATGTGGATGTGAAGCTGATTCTCTCCCCCCACCCCCCAAACTACCATAAAACCAACTTTTCTTACAGAACACAGTTGCCTTGGGAGAGACAACTAAGCTAACGTACAGTACCCCACCTCCACCCTGCCTGCTTCCCTGGCTCACTGCCCAGGTCTCAGGCTGGGACACTGAGGGAGCGCATGGGCCCCGAGCAGCATGGGTGCTTGGTGGAATCAGCTCGCGGCGGTGGCAGGGATCCTGGGGACTGCTGGTCTCTAGTGTGGTGGTGGAAACCGGCGGATGGCCTTGGTTTCTTCCCTTCCCTTGCCTGCTCCTTTGTTGCTGCAGAGGGGTTGGGAGGCGGGGAGAGTCAGCTTGGGGCTCTTGCAGTTCTAACAAGATGGAGGTGCCACTCCCTTTCTTGAACTTAGAGCGTCTGGGAACCTGAGGGGAGCTGTGACTAGGCAGAGCCTAATCAGGCAGGAGAGGATTTCTCCCTGCACCCCACACCCCACCAACAGGCACACCTCATGTGGTGGAGGCGCATAGGAATTGGACACCCTACCTCTCTGCACGTGGGTCTCTGCGAGGTGGCCTAAGAGGACTGAGTAACATGCACACAGTGTCTGTGTTCACGTCCTGCCCGCCTGTGAGGTAGAGGACAGCCCGCACCGAGGCCCCTAACTCACAGTTCAGTTCCCTAGCTGCCGTTCTGTTTCCTGGGAAAGGTGTGTTTGGGCACGCAAATGAGGTCCAGATGTGGAAGGCTCTGCGGCAGCTTTATGGCCTGTTCAGAGGTAGGCCCCAGAAACCTCCAGCTCCTCTCAGGTAGCTCGGGGCTGCCTGCTGCCCCCAGGAAGGGAGAGAGCAGTGAGGAGGAGAGCAGGGGGTCTGCCAGCGGGATCCAGGACCAGCCTCCCCTGGGGCAGCCAGCAAGGGGCGGAGGAGAGGCAGGGAGGGGAAAGGGTGACTTCCTTTAGAACTGTTGCCTGTTTTATCAAGGATCTGTGCCTGGTCAACTCTGTGGACCCTCCTCCTAAAACAGCAGGTCGCCCTCCCCGTGCCTGTGTTTTGCCCTACACTCTTCCTGGAGCAAGAGGCTAACTCTGTTTTGGAGCCAGAAAGGTATTAGTGAAAAACCAGAATGATGGGAAGAGCTTCTCCAGTGAAACATCTTGAGTAAATATTTTATTCAGAGGGAAATGAAGTAAAATCAAATATTTCATTAATAGGACACAAAAACACTGAATCAGATAGTGTGCAAAACGTAAGCTAAGGTGGGTCACCGAACTAGGTGTAGGGAATTAACTCATCTCTACGTGAAACGTAGGTTCTAACAGTAAACAGCTGGGTTGCATGTCCCCTCCCCACACCGCAGCATGCTCGCCAGCAGTAAGACACTGCCTTCCTGTGGCACAGTCAGGCCCGACCGAAAGGGAAATCTGAGACATCCAGCTCCAGTGGTTTTTAAAATTCTAAGCCAGCTTTTCTGTGGGGTAGGTGGGCTGTTGAAAGTGCTGGAGGGAACCAAGGGTGAGCCACAAACTGCTGGCTGTGGAGAGGCACAGCAGGCCTGGCTGCAGGCCCTTGCCCCACAGGAGGGCAGGTGTTAGAGGGATGGACTTTTGGGTAGGACGGAGGCGGGCGGAAGAAGTCTTCTCTGACTAGAAAGGAAATTTGGTATTAAGAGGGCCTCAACTGCGTCCCAATATAACCAGACAACTGTCTAGACACCGGGAGGAAAGTGGGAGGCAGGACCGCACCGGCTCAAGCCCCCTTCCCTGGGTCGGTGCCGGAGTTTAATTTCAGCGAATGTTTATGGGAGCCTAGTAAGTGTCCACTGGGGTGTCCAGCGGAAAGAAGCGCCCTGTCCTGGAGGGGCACAGTTCAGTAAAACGCCTTCCGCAGTCCTCGTAGGCTCGATAACTTGTGTCCCGGACTCGTCAGGGGACAGGTACAACTGGACCCAAACACGCTTTCCTTGTAAAAACCGAGAAAACCAGACATGAGCGGGTCAAGGAGAGACGCTGCAAGGAGGGCTGCCAGGCGGGGGCCGCCGGGCGCGAGCTGCGGCGGTGCTGCCTGCTGGCACGGGGCATCCGGACCGCCGGGC